AGTAGACTGCTCTTGTTGTACTCTGTGTTGTGATGGTGCTGCTGCTGACTACTGCCTGTCCAAGTAGGGTTCCAGTGACAACCCCTGGGATAAAATGGCTCGGGGTTTGGGGTGGAGGCTGCAGCATGCAACGAGAAGCAAGGGGGTGGTGCTGGCTCCCAAAGCTATTCACGGCATCAGGTTTCTAAGGGCCACCAAACGCACCAACTATGGCACAGTGCCTCGTATTAGCAATGATACTAGCTAGCCGGCTGGGAATAGAAGGACACGCTGACTTCCGTAAATAACCTCCCGATTCTAAGCCCCCTCCTCCTTTCATCTTCTGTCTAGCCAGGATCTCACCATGGTTGCCTCGACTAGCCGGTATACATAGGTGTTGTGACATGTTTGTTTGTTTGTTCTGATTTCTTTGCTTCATACTACATCCTCAGTGATGGCTCCCTCACCGAAGAAGTCGAAAGCTTCAAATTGTCTTCTAGGAAATGGCTACGGTGTGTTAGAGGGGCTACATGTATGCGGGATCATGTCTTCAGTCGGGAGCAAAGGAGCAGAAGGGGGTGGCAGGCAGGGGAGGACAAAGAGTGAACAGAGCCAGAGTCCTGGGGGAGAGGGCAGGGACCCAAATTTGGAGCAAGGGGAGCCGTCAAGGAGGATCCATCGTTGCGCGTACCAACACTGGGATCTGCTGCGGCTGTGTCCGTGGCACAGGTGTGTCAACGGGCGGAGTACATTTCATCTGACCGGTAGGAGTCCTACTAAAAGTCCAGGATTGTTGGGTCCAGGGGCAAGCCCAAGTATCGCGGATCGCCACGGGTTGAGCAATGCACTGTCCTGTAGCAGTTTTAAAGACCCAGGATTTCTGAGGGTTCAATGTGCAAGTCCAGGTATTCGCTGGGTCCTGGACTTGAGACTCGCTGCAAGCATGTTTCTTTGATAAGTTGTTCTGGAGGCCTCCTCTAGCTATTGTCTGATAGGATAGCTGCGAAGAAAGAAAGGGTGTCTTGCTTGTCAAGAGGTGCGGATACCTGTATATTGCTGTTACTAGGTCAGTCGGCGTAATGGCTAGATTCACCTGTTATTCGTTCTTCTTCGCTTATTGGCATCCTGATCGATCATCGTTACCAACAACATGCATGCGGACCTTGGGGCATTCTTGCTTGGCATCACGCATACATGGTGACAGCCAGGTATCAGCCAGGTATCTGGCGCTCGTGTGGGCAGAAGGTTGTTGTTGCTGCGTCTGTGCTCTGGATGAAGCCCAGCAAGAACAACTGTGTATGAAGTATGGGCTTACAACGGAATTCAGAAATTAATACGCTGCGTTTTAAATAAGTTATGCAATCCATCGACAGCATCTCCTCCGTGTCGAGGAAACAGTACATGGAAGTCGCCCCGTATCTCGGGGTCTCGTGGTCCCTGATGTCGTTGTTGCTGTAGTTGCTATTGTTGGGTTGTCCATCACAGGACGATTGAGCCCAGGCCAGAGGTTGGCCTTATGATGCTCCAACCCCGCGAGTGAGAGATCCAGACCGTATACACTAGATGCAAGGACTGTCTCAAACGCTAATCACTCGATGAAGCTTTCTTGGTGGGCATGTTGGTTTTGGCCTGTGGGCGACCTCCTCTTCAAAAATGGCCGCCCAAGGATTTCCTGGGATAAGAAAACGAGAATCCAGTTCCCCAGTTTTGGCATTCTCTGGATGCAGATCCGCCAGCCATTCTTCGAATGTTGCCTCTGTGTTGTGTTCTAGATAGTCAATCAGGTGATTTCGGATGATTTCCAGGCACTGTCGTCTTCCTTCCTCCTCTGCTGCCTTATCTTTTTGCATCCTGTCAAGCTCCCTTGCTTCCCTATCTTTTTCTTCAATCTCTCTTTCTTTCTGGGCCTTGGCCGAGTAGAACTTGTCGCCGAGTGCCGAAAAGGTATCTTCCAGTTTGACGAGACCCAAGCGGGTGTTTACTGAGAAGCCCTTGTACTCCAGCTTTGCGGCTGCCGAGAGGCCACCGTATTCCAGCTTGGCGGCTGCTTTTGTAGATTCCAGCTTTGCGGCTGCTGTAGAAGCCGTGGCACGGACATCTTCGGCGACACCGCTAAAGATGTTGGTGATTTGGCTCATTGGGCGGATCATGGTTTCGAGTTTGTCGAGTCTTCTTGTAATTTCGGTGCTTCTTTCGTTGTGTGCTTTTCGTTCAGAATTGTGAGCAGTTTTTGTTTCTTGTTTGATGGTCACATGGTCACAGCCTTGCGCTGGGACGCTGGGACTGAGCGACTGGAAATTGCATGCACGACTATGTCATACATACAATGACAATGTCATGTACGTCTTGGTAAATCTTTTGTTTCAATGACCACACTTCGCTCCTTGACTGGTTAGCGTCTCTGCAACACAGAATGGTAGACGTGGTAAACATGGTGATAGTTCTGCTTTACTACGAATATTTATTTATAACAAACATAATACCGTATTTACCGGAATTCCTTTGCTGTCATTCTTGGACACAACGACCAGTTCCTTGTGTTCCTTGCATTGTGCCACTAAAGATGCTTGTATGCATCATGAGTACCGGTACCGTACATGTACCAGCCGGAAGCTGTCTGAGCCACTTGCCAAACTGAAACTAGACTATAGTAACTAGCTAGAGTACCGGTAGGGTCGAGCCAGAGGGACGCCTGGATCTACCACACCGCACCAGTTGTTGGCTGTCCATCAGACAGAAAGTTAGTTGTCGAAGGGTATACAGTACTCTAGCTAGCTAGCTAGCTAGAGCGAAAAAACGTTACTGGAGTATCAGCTGCTGCCAGAAGCAAAGTTTATAGCCTGATGCATCGTATAATAAGCATGGAATTTCTTACATCCTTTTGGATCGATGGCGTAGACTCTAATCTCTGATAAGTTTTTCAAAAGTGTGACGTATGTAAAGAATACTAGAGTAACCTGCTGCCTGCTTGCTGCCCCAGAAACTATAGTAGGAAAGCCAAGTACATGTATCTTTCTTTTAGCTACCATGTACAGTATCGTATGTTTTAGCAAGATTTGAGAACACAATTGTCAAAGATGTGGGCAGATCTGCAGGTTTTGCATCTCTTCCGGTATGAGCTCACCACCAGCTGTGGCGAGATGCCTCAAATTGTTTGACTAATAGCGCGGTACTGCACGCAGGGGTTGCGATTCAGTGAGTACCCAAGTGCCCTGAAGATGGCATCGGCTTGAGCTTCTGGGCACCGGCTTGGGCGTCCACTCAAGTAGTATCGTGTTAATACAACTACCTTTGCGGTATCCTGTGGCTGCTTCACCCGCTCTACTAGGTCAAACCGAGGCCAAGAAACCAAATCCCCCCAAATGATTCTCTCTGCATTATACAGTATTTTGCTAATACATTTAGACAATCCAGGCAGCATTTTCTACAAATAAAGGTGAGTTGTTATGTACTGCTCCAGTTACGGGTTCTTGTTGCAAGAATCTCAGCCAAGTTGGGTTAAGAGCGGGTAGGTTACCAAGTGCTGGCACCAGGACCCCAGTCGAAAATCCGCAATAAAATGAACCGCCATCTCTTCATTCTAAAAAGTGACTCCAATCAGAGAAGCAACAAAAACACGGCTGTTCCGGATATGGCCGGTAGTATGCTGTGAATTGTGGAGCCAACAGAGTTCTTGTCGCTTTCTCTATCCTCTTTGTCACCCTCATAATACGCAGCCACATCAATCAAGCCCACCCCAGTAGCACCATCCATGTCGCTAACATCGAGTGCCTTGACATGTCCATACTCCAGTGCCTTTTTGCAGTCATCCGGATCGGCGGCAGCGACAAAACTATGTCCATGTGCTGCAATGGACAACGCTCCATCTTGATTATCATCATTCGACTTTTTGAGATAGACCTTGCCACACCATCCTGGCTCCAGTTGGAGAGGAGGCAACGGGCCAACCGCATACCCCAGGCATCCTGGAGCTTCTTTGTCCACATTGTAGGAATCAAACGATATCAAATCACCTTCCTCCACATTAACCGAAGTAGCATTGACCGAAATGACCCTTCCGGTGACTTCAAAATCCGTGACGCAGGGATCGCTTGTCTTGGATTGCAGCTTGGCATCTACCGAAACCACAGACACGAGCATGACATCGGTTGCACTTTTCCGGAGCTCATTGCCAGAGGGAAGGATCACACCGGTACCAACAGCAGAGACACAGAAATAATGCAAAGCTACCAAAATAAAGGCCAGTCCAACTACTTTCATTACTGTGCAGGCATTGTTGGACTCGACTCGGCACAATAATCAAGGCTTGTTTGGATATAATAAATACTATGCCTCAACGATGCCTTGGCCGCAGTCACTGCCGTATTGATAAGCCATTCATGCACACGCAACCTTCCAGTTTCTACTAAGACGATACCCGTACGATGAGGCACGACGACAAAAATGAGGCGTGACGGTGAGTGTGAAGTGTGAGGTTGTGACAGTTGAAGTCGCTTGGGCACAAAAAGATTTAATAATAATTTTGGCCAAAACTGGGCACAACGGCGGCTCACATTTTGCTTTGAAACGATACAGGTCGCAGGTCGCAGGTCGCACACACCCATACGGTAGATCTAGACTAGCTACTGTAGCCAAGGGTTTGCGATGACACCGCGTCGGAGAGAAGCAATCAGAGCTATCTTCTACATGTATGTATGGTAGGAAGGGTGAAAGACAGGGTGCTGCATAAGATACGGTACCGAGCCTTGGAACGCTACCATCCACCTGCCGTACATGCACGAGTACGAGTACCTCCATCCCCCCTCCATTGCAAACTCTATCAAATCGAATCAGAACCTAGACTTGCCACTGAATCATTCTATCGTTCGCAACACAACTTTTCCTAGCTAGCTAGCCAGAGAAGCGGTGCAGAAGTGAGAGAAGGTTCGAACCATGCCATCGTTGTTGTTGGAACACCGTTCCAATGACCACTGCAAGAATTTTACAGAGGATGATCGTCGTTAGATATCTCGCAAGAATCATCATGCTTGGATACGGTACGTACGTTAGGAATCAGCGTCTACCACCTTCAAGGGGTACTTTTGGCCCAACAAGTCAGGGGTCATGGGTCTCTCTCCGAGAATTCAAAACTCTACGAAATCGAAAACTTACAAGAGCCACGGCCAGTGCTACTACTAGTACCGTCTGTCCACTAGATGGAAAGCTAGGGGCGGCGTATGTTCACAGTCTAAGTAGCTAGTGCTGGCGAGGATCACATTGGCCAGGCAACTTATATGCTATCCTATTCTTGGAGGTGCGGAAATGTTGAAGGGATGCCATCTTTGATCTGCTTGCTTGCTTGCTTGTATCACTGACGGGTTTGTCTTTGCTTGCTTGTGTGCAGCTACACGATTGGTGACATTGTGAACACTCTGATGGATTTCTGCCTTTCCAGAGGACTCGATCCCAAATGAACCTACATCTGGATTTGTTGCCTCTGTATCAATCAATCAACATCGAGTTGTAACACAAGAACAGAAATCGGGAATGGTGGCTCCAACTCCCACAACAACACAGCAACCACAAAACGTTGATTTCTTGTCTCTGTTCGGGGTTAGAGTCAAGAAGATTGGACACCTGTTAGCCATGATGGCACCATGGAAGGCACCCGTGTATCTGACGAGAGTCTGGTGTATTTACGAACTATTTACAGCCGAGCGAGACCACGGAGGATTGCAGCATTCACATTTTGATGCCACCCGAAGAAAAGAGCCTACTCAAGCAAGATGTTGCCAGCTTTGAACCAAGGAACAATTTGAAAGAGCTTCCACTACCGTGGTCTCCAGAAGAACCAACAATCATCACCAGCCCAGAAGGAATTGATGTACTATACAATGCACTTGTAAAGACAAGGGTACAAGATGCGAAAGCATCCGTCGAAGACGACATACAATCTTGGCAATGGTGGAGACAACGGTGGGCTTTTAAGTTCTCAATAGCCGTGTCAATGAGCTGTTGCGTGGCTGGATCCAGCACACAATCAGGAGACTTGTAGAGGAGCATGCATATACAAACGATGAAGTGTATGCGGATTTCTGCAACAAGATTGGAGCAATTCTCTGCAAGAACTGAGAGATCAACGCAGCTATCGAGATCCACCGGAAGGCTCTGGATGTATGCCAATCTGCTTTGGGAGATAAACACCTTCAGACGGCCCGCACTCATTTTCGACTTGGTGAAGCATTCTGCAGCAAAGGTGAGGACTATGAAGCTGCACTGGATGAACACAACTTTTGGTCTTGCAATCAAACTGTCTCAATTGGGAGAAGAACATCCAGACACTGCCGAGTCTTTTGGCGCCATTGGAATTGGGCTTTTCTGTCGAGGCTACTTTGATGGTTCGCTAGTCGAATTCAAGAAATGCTTGGCTACCCAGGAATCTTGCCTTGGGACCAGCCATGCTCACACAGCTTCATCATGCAGCAACATTGGGGGCGTTCTCAAAGCCAAGGGTGATTACGATGGCGCACTGGAACAATGCAACAAGGTTCTTGCCATCAGGGAAAAGGAGCTTGGTTTTAACCACCCAGACACTGCAGCTGCACATTTCAATATCGACTGTGTCCTAGAGGCCAAGGGAGACTAGACTATGCAGCGGCTCTGGAGAAACACAAGGAATGTCTTGCAACAAAGGAGACCATCCTTGGAGAGGACCATCCTGATACTGCCAGTACCTAAAGCACAATAGGAAACATGCTGATGCTTATGGGAGACTACGTTGGTTCTCTGAATCATCATTTCAAATGCTTGAGGGTCCAGGAAGCCGTCCTGGGCCACGACCATCCTTCAACCGCCAACACGCACAACAATATTGGAATGGTGCAGAAGGCTCAAGGGTGATCTTGCAGGTTCACTTTTGTCATACCAGAAATGCCTCTCGATACGGCTGTCTGCCCTGGGCCGAAAACATCTTGAATCTGCTGCTTCGTGCAACAACATTGGAGCTGTGCTCAGGGCAAAGGGCGATTTGGACGGCGCCCTGGAGTCATACAACAAAGCAGTTGACATACTGGAATCGCTTCTAGGTAAAGACCATCCGGAAGTGCTACTAACATTGGCATGGTCATGCAGAAGAAAGGGGACTATGAGGCTGCGTTGGAAAAACTTGAAGTGTCTCTTGCCATTCGAGAGTCCAAACTGGGCAAGCATCGTAGTGATACAGCAAGTTCCTTGAACAACATTGGCCTTGTGCTGCAAAAGACAGGAAACTATGGTCGTGCCTTGGAATATCATCGAAAGTGCATTGCAAATCACGAAACTGTGTTTGGTTTAGCACATCCGCACACGGCAACTGCTTACTTCAACATTGGGTCTGCGTACCACAAGCAAGGAAACCTGGATGAAGCGCTCCTGTATTATCAGAGGTGTTTGATTGTCAGAAAGGCTGTCTTTGGCAACCTTCACCCTGAAACAATAACACATGCTGCAACAACATTGCTGGTGCTCTAGCAGGCAAAGGAGAGTATGACAATCCTTTGGCAGAGTTTCAGAAATGCCTTTCATACTGGGAGTAGAAACCACCCGTACACAAAAGGAGTGCTTTGCAACATGGAGAAGGTCAAGGCCAGAATCAAAAGGCATCAAGCAATGCAGGATGATTCAAAAGCGGAATGAACTTCAGGAAGCTTCAATGGAATGGCTTTCTAATATTCCGGCACCGCAGCTAGCTAGGTAATCATGTGCATCAAATTTTGCGAGGATAGCTACCGGTACTAGACTAGCTAGACTAGAGTACGAGAGAGCAGATGGCTTGGTTGCTTGGTTGCCTTACCGATACTATGGACTGCAGGCACACTAGAGTACGAGAGAGCAGATGGCTTGGTTGCTTGGTTGCCTTACCGATACTTTGGACTGCAGGCACCCTTTTGCGCTCTTTGACTGCGTTCTCTTCGTTGCCGGATGGTGCTTCTCATGTCATGCTACGTGGTACCGGCTATGCACCGTACGTTGCTTGGTACGGTGCGAGGTCCGTTTTGGCAGAATGACACGTCATCACTGGAGGAGCTGTGTGACGAGATGACAAGCAAACGCGGAAGCCACTACCGGTACCAGGTACGGTACACGTACCTGGTACACGTACGGTACAGGCACAAGCGATGACATAATATCATACCGTACCGTATGCCGTGTACTAGTCTAGTACACCCTTCATCTGCGTCGCGCACTTCAATCATGGGGAACAAAGGTTTACGGAAGCAATTATTTACGGAAGCATTTTTTTTGTTGGGAAACAAACCAAAGGGTAGCTGAGGTAAAACATATTTATTTCAAAAATAATGTTTACCGCATCTACAACTGTAACCTCAATTCCAGTAGCTATTCCAGTCTGACACTGGCTCTGTTCTTGCACTGTTCTCCCTCTGCTTTGTGATCTGCACACGGAAGTTTTTCTTTTGTGTTGCGCTGTTGCCAACACGGACCTCAGATATATTTTTGTTCTCACAATCCAACTATCTTTCCAACCAAACCAGATCTATGACGAGTGCTAACAATAATCGAATCAACTATCCCTTGTCTTCCAGTTCATCTGAGATTCTTCAGCAAGTGGCAGGCCTCAATGACCAAGGTATCTGTCAACTGATGGTACACGATACTCGCATTGCTCTGTCCTACTTTACCAAGGCACTGACCATCCTCCAGCAAGAGATTAGTAAGGCACAAGAAGATGCTGTCAGCAATGAAGATTGGATGCAGTCTCCCATTTGCCTTTCCGCATCCATCCCAGGACTGCTCAATGAACAAGCGGATGAATCTGGAGGACTCTTTGTCCACAGCAAAGCATTTTCTTTGCAGATCATTGGCAATGACATCTCCTCTGTGCCAGGAACTCAGCACCTGGCAGCCATGGCCATCCTCTTCAATATTGCTCTAACCTATCACCTTCATGGCGCCAAGCACCAACAGATGGCGTGTGTTGAGAAAGCCTTTCGATTCTATCAAGTTTGCAGTGGAGAGATCATATCATCCTCTGCGGTTATTATTGATCCAACGTCTTGTCTGTTTGTTAGTTTGGCGTGCCGCAACAACCAAGCCCAGATACAATACCATTATCTTGGAAACAAGGCAATGGCTGCTCAATTGGCCTGTCAGCTGCAACAGCAGTTGAAACTTTTTGCTGTGGTCACTACTGATGCTTGTAAAGACAACAACAATGTTGTGCAACTTATTGACGAGATGCTCTTGAATGTTCACATGCTTATCCGTGCCAGATCCATGGCAGCATCAGCAGCGTGAGACAACTGAGCGATACTACTGTATAGGCTAATATTGCCTCGTAGGATACCGGTACCTGCTGCCGGTAGTTACACATTCACCTTGGCAGTCTTGCTGCCAGAGCCCTCAACCCCTTTAATTTGGTCTCCCAGACCACGCTCCTTTTGGTTTCCCCCTCAGTTGCGCTCTGAAATCGATTGGCTCGCGTTTACTGTGTAAATTAGTGTACCCGCACTTCAGTTGCAGAATCAACGGTCATGTGTATCCTTAAGTATCAGGTTCTCTTTCGAAAGATTTAGATCAATTCGTGGAATAAAAGAACTTGCTAAGGTTAAGGATAAACTGATCGCACGGAGCGAAAGTAGATCATTGAAGGCGCAGCACTGACTTCTCTCCCTCATTGAATTCGTATGGTAAACATGAGGTAAATCCAGGCTTGGCCTACAACAATGGTGAGTGCTTTATCCAATCGGCCGATTGATCGATTCGATTCGAGGTGAGCCTATTATCAAGAGCGTTTGTTGAAGGTGCAGATTCGAAAGCCATCCCTCATTTGATTTCTATGGACCGCGGGAAGGCAGTCAGATCTCGGCCATCAACAGGTGAGTTGTTTTAATTATTCGAATCGAATCGTTGCACCTCTGTTATCCAAGCCTCACTCAAGCCGGTCGTCTCCGGTGCAGAAGCGAAAGCCATCCCTCATTGAATCCTATGGACGATGGGATGGCAGTCATTTCTTGGCCCATGACGGCCAAGTTGGTGCAATTTGAAAAGCAAGGGTAAGTCGCTGGTTTTCTTCAGTTCAGCACAGAAAACAAAACTCATATCTATTTGTTGTTTTCTCTGCTGCACTGCTGATGGCCGGTGAATTACCATTGTCGACGGTCGATCGCTCCGGATAAGAAGAGGAAGAGGCTGCCGCTACGGAAGAGGAGGCTCTGTTAACTCCAGCCCTACCAACAGCCTGAACAGAGGAGCCTATCGTCGTCGAGTCATTGAAAGGCAACAGCCACCGGAAGAGGCAACAACAGACAAGAGAGTGGATCCTCCTACCGGATTCATCCCTTCTTGTTATTTCCTACTGTTTTGGTAGTGATTCCTGTGTCGGTACCCATTTTCCTGTATGCGCAAGTCAAGTACTGTTGCCACTAGCTACACGGCAGCTGGCTACAATGGCTGGATTGACAATATTCGGTTGTGCGTGTAATCGTCATAAGGATCCAATGCGAGGTAACCGAGTGCCGCAAGCAAAGTCGAACCTGAGTGTGTTCGGTACTGTTGCCACTGGCACTGATTGATGAACTCTACGGTAACTGGCTACGATGGCTGGATTGATATTGTTCGGTTGTGCATGTATTCGTCAAAAGGATCCAATGCAAGGTACCGGTAACGGAGTGTAGCCAGTATAGCGGAACCTGAGTGTGTTCGGTACTGTTGCCACTGTCACAGATAGATGTAACTCTCTGCCTACAGTAGGTACCATACCGGTAGCTGGCTATACAATAGCTGGATTGCATGTATTCGTCATATTATGGATCCAAGTAGGGAGCAAACTGAGGAAACAGGAGACCAACGCTGAAAAAAAGCCGAATTGTTTTTCCTGCTACGGTGGTCCCTGCAGGTATAAGGGTAGGGTTAGAATACAAATAAGTCAGCAAAAACTAAATAAGTATCCTAGGATGGTGCTTTTACACCAGCTAAAGCTATTTACATGCATTCTAGTAGGGGGATCTGCTTCTACCAGGAAAAACTCTAAAGCCAGCGAAAGCTATATAACTAGTATTCTAGCTAGCTAGGGGTGTCTGCTTCTAGCTTGCTATGGGAATCTGCTTCTAGCTAGGGGGGATTTGCTTCTAGCTAGCTAAGCACAAGTTAAGCACTAGCTAAGCACTAGAGGTGTCTGCTTCTAGTTAGCTAGCTATAGGGGTATCTGCTTCTGCACTGAAACCTTTCTGCCGAGGTTACACAGCTCCGCTGGCTTAATACAACGAAAGAAGAGACCTACTTCAGGCAGGTAGGATACATTTTAGTAGACCAAATCGCCACGTTGCTCTTATACTTACTTACGTCGTCGTCGATGCATGGCATCCCTCTTGGTGTATCGTGTGGATCATGACGATCCAGTGTTGTCGTCGCCATACGATGAAACAAACCAGAGGAATTCAATCGCCCGATATACATATATATAGATGGCATGATCATCCTGTTTGCGGAAGGAGATGGCACATGCCATCCACATCCACACATGAAAAAGGCAACTACGAGATGGACTCAATCCTACACTTTAGCTAGCTAGCTAGTTTATTGTTGTGGTTGTCGTAGTTGTATTGGATGCAGTTTTTGTTGCTGTATTGTTTGGCGTTGGTTGTTCTCCATCGGCATTGTAATAGTATCCCGCTCGTGGCATAAACACAGCGTCACGTGCGTTTGCAGTTTGAAATCGCACCCGTACCGTGGGAGCATCGGGTTGGTGACTTCGATAAGCCGCAAAATGAAGATGTGGTTCGGGACTAAACCCAATACTGCCCGACAATCCAATGACTTGTCCTCTCTCCACTGTATCGCCCACTTGAACATGTGATTTGGAAATGTGGACGTATTCGACAAACAGTGGTTGTTCATTGCTATTGTTGGAATCAGTAGGAGTAGTCGTCGTGACTTGCAGGAGTATCGAGTTCCACGTGAACAAGTTGGAAACAGCAATTCCAGTGAGTGTGTTGTTGTCGTTGGCTTCCACTACAATTCCATCGGCCACGGCAAGAAGAAGTGTTCCAATGGGACATCGGAAATCGACGGCATGTAAATTGCCGGAAAAGAAATGAGTGAGTTGTCCTCCTTCTCCTTGGGTGCACAAAAAACTTGTACTGTCGGGTAATGTTGTTTGGAGTGGAAATGCCAGTGGCAAATCGTGTTGATCGTGTGGATGCGGATGTACATTCCATTGTTGTACGTCACTTTCCAGTTGGATCTGTGAGAGCATGTCTTGATCGACGTGTTCGTGTGATGATTGCAGTTGAAAATGACATAAATGACAAAAGACTTTGGGAGGACACAGAACAATCAGCGTGACACACGGTTGGGTCAAGCCTTGATTGTTGGTGGTCGTGCCGGGTGTCATGGTGCGTCCTTGTTTATCCTTGAGGCACGTGTTGTCTCCCAGTATGGAAATGTAGGCAATCAGTGGGTACTTGTTCATGTTGCATACACTTAATGTTTGCTCTTCTGGATCCAACGCCAATTCGGGAATCTCATCTTCATCTTGGTCAAAGTCATCTGATGATACATCTTCCCATTCCAACACCCAATCACTAGTACTACCACTCGATGATGAAACAGAAGAACGACGGGCAATGTAACAGCCCGGTCCGGCAGATGACACAAAATTGGAGTCTGTGGGAGTCGTCGTCGCAGCAGTGGCTTTTTTCTTTTTTCGTTTCTTCTTGTTGTTACTATTGTTATTGTTGCTCTTGCCCATTCTGTCTGACTGATACTCTATACTCTATACTCTAGCTAGCTAGATAGCAGTGGCTTCTCATATATGTACATGTAATGTAGATCATGGAGGCAAAAGTAACAACAAGGATGTCTTGGTCGTCTTGATGGGTTGTTGGTTGTGGATTGTGGATACACGTATTCGAAAGTTGGAAGGATTGTATTCGAAAGCGAATCGAAATAATCGTAGCATGACGTCATGCATGATCATGACAAGGACCTTTTTGTGTGTCACAAACTCGTGTCTGGTCTTGCCGTCGTACGCTCACCGTTTGCCACCACCACGAAATAGTTCAGCTTTTTCTAGTTTTCTCGCTCTCCCCCGACAACAACTAAACTCCTCATCCACTTCGTCAAGACCAATCCTTTGGTACATTATTGTAATCCACCTAAGCAAGCAATAATTAAGCAATAAGCAATAACAACAAAGAATGGTAAAACACGGCCGGAGCAAGAAACGACGTTCGGGTCGTATTGGAAGAGTGAAACTCAAGAATAAGAATTTCAAACGATGGGATCCCAATCCCAATATCAAGGATGCTACCGTACAAAAGCTGTGGGATACTACCAAGACACCCACGCAGAACTTGGCACAAATGGGCTTGAATGTCAGTTTCAACAATATTCATAATAACAACAACAATTCTACAAGTACATCAACAACCACTACTACTCCCAACATGATTGAACTATTTGATGTTCCCACCATCATCTCCAATGAGACCAAGCGATTGCCACTGCAACCCGACGAACAAGAATACATTCTACGAGGAATCACCAAGTACGGCACCCACAATTACAAGGCACTCTTTCGAGATGTCAAACTCAATGTGCTCCAACATACGCAACAAAAACTGGAAACCATGGGAACACGATTTTTAGCACTCCAGCCAGAACAAATTCGACTTGCCACCACACAAACAATTCCAAAAACTATACTCGACCAAATGGCACATGGAACTGAAATTCAACAACAAATAATGCAACAACAACAAGAACAAGAGTGAGGAGGCAATTGTTCTATTAATCTAATCTGGCAATCTACCGTCTCATACAGTCATGCGGAAGGTTTGAAGCGAATGAATCTCTTTTGGTCAAGTTTTCCACCAACTACGGCAAGCACAACAAACAACTTCTTTCGGTAGACACGCGCAAGCTTTTTGTCCTACCGTAGTAAAAGCTGCAAAATGCTACATGTACGATTTTAGCAAAGAGCGACTACTAGATGTTTTTAAAAAGCAGATTTTACGATACTGATTCGATTCTTCTGTAGTACCGTATGATACCAGACTACCAGAACTCTTTGACTGGCGACGGATTTATTAATTCATGAGCAGCTTTGTAGACGACCATGCATGAGCCAAGAAATAATGGCCAAAGGGGAAGGAAGAATCCTACGAAACGCAACAATCCAGGGATCGGATACAACAACAAAATAAAATGACAAAATAAAATAAATTCGCTCGTGGCGTCGTTTTGCACGTAGCTGGCTAGCTAGCTAGCATTCTTTGGTGGTTTACTACTGCATGGCTTTTTGCTACATATCTGGTTGGTTTGGTACGGTATTAATAGTTGCGACGGTGCCCATTGACAGAAATAAATGTAGTGATTAAACTAAGCAACGATGGGGGCAATGTTCTCGTTTGCCGTGTCCTGGCTATAGTTAGCTAGCTAGTTTTGTTGTGGTCGTCAGCACGGCTCTTCTATAATAATAATTACAGTGTATACAAAGCCATCGAATCGAAAGATTCGACTAACTTTGAAACGAGCACCGTCTGCGTATTGTAGTGCATCGTCCGGTCGGCTTCTTGGTGGATATCTATCTTGTATGGTACTGGAAACTCGACTTTGTCATTTAGTTACTGTAGTGGATAGCAGGAATATATTATTTGCCCTCATCGACCGACAGCCCATCCACGTCCTGACGGAACGCCCTTTTGATTTTGACCACCTGCTTCTTCTCCCATGAATTGAGTTCGTTGAGGAGACCGTATCAATGAGCCGTTTGTGTGTGGTCTGTCAAGGAAAGGCACACTCGTACAATGTATGGTTGACGATGGCAACCGACAATGTCTGGCACCACCATACCGCATTTGTGTTTCGTTGAAGTTATTAGTGGATTCATTTTGTTTTTTGGAGGAGTAGGCTCTGGGGTCCATGGTGTATCTGCCTGGGGTACCTTGGGAAGATGCGGTCTCCACTTTGTAGTATCATTGCCTGGAGGAGTCTTGTCGCGTCTTTGAAGTTGAAATGTTTTCGTTTTGGGTGGTGTACAGTCTCCCTCGATGTTTAATTCTGGATACACAATGAGCCTGGATGCCTTGGCGCTGGTGTAATATGTTTTTCGCTTTGTGGCTTGAGCGTCCAGAAACTTGGTCAATCGCTTTTGGTACTCCCCGTCGCTCTTTTTGGCATTGGCAATCATCTGTCGTTGTGTTCGCTTGGCTTGACAGTCTCTCTTGGCACGATCGGCAACAACACAGCTTCGTTGACTTCGTCTCCTCGGAGGAAGAACCGATGAGGATGTGTCCTTCGCCTTGGCCATGGTGGTGATATTTATTTCGGGAAAGGAACAGAACAAGCCAAAGCTTCGGTGCACTTTTGGAGAAAAAGTGAGTACTCTATAAAAGAGTTGGCCAGGCTAACGTCATTTGACAACCTGCAGAGCTGTATTTTTCACGTGGCTTGTTCTGCTCTGGACTGGTGGTGTCAACCGGAGAAGCTACTGGTACCGGAGATCTTGAGGCAACAGCAAAGAAAGATAGTCTGGCTGATCCTCCCTATAATAAACGCTCGCGAGCAAACCATGAACAACAACGAAGAAACCAATCCAATAGAACCAGTTGCTGGCTTGAAAACCACCACTAGCTCTACCTCTGGGAACAGTGGCACAGTTGACCATGCCAGTTTGGCCCCTCCTTCTACTAGTACTACAACTTTGGACCGTACTATGCAACGGCTGGCCGAAGAAAGAGCTGCGAAAGAAGCCTCCAGAGCTACCGACTGTGCTACTGGTTCTGGTTCTGGTGGTATAGTTGCCAGCAGCATACCGGGAGCTGTCTTGGAGAGGAGTCAAAAGAGACAAAAGGAGGCCAAACAAGCTACTAATGATGGACCCCTGGTAAATGGCACATATGAGAGGAAGCCACCCCCTTCAGCAACTACTGCTACACGTGGACTCAAGAGATCTGTGGAAGAAAAGGCTGCTAAGGATGCCGCTCGACGTAGCCCTGGGAGTGCCACAGTTGGTGCCTCTTATGCTGTAGCTAGTCCATGTCCTCAGAGGGGGCTGAAGCGGTCCGAGGAAGAAAAAGAAGCCAAAAAAGCTGCACGGGGAAATAATTCTGGGGCAACAAATCAAGCTGCACTTCAGCTAGCAGTGCTGCCATGGCCATGGTCAATCACATGGGGTCAAAGGGAACTGCAGCAGCATCTGCTATGCAGCCTGGAGTGCAGTTTGTACCAGCAAGTGACACCATTAGTAGCACTTCTGATGAACGTTCCTTTACGACCATGCGTGGCCTTGCCAAGAACCGAAAACCCGATGTCTCAGGGCAAGCGCCAGCAATGGTTAGTAGCACTTCTGATGAACGTTCCTCTAGGACCATGCGCGGCCTCGCCAAGAACCGAAAACCAACTGTCTCAGTGCAAGTGCCAGCAACGGTCACAGAGAATGAACCTGGCAGCACACAGGCACTTCAGTCTGAAATATCCTCTATTGGTCTCGATGGGGACGGACTTGGAACTGCTATACAAAAACAAAAGGATAGCGAACCTGAGGCGACTGCTCCCATCCCCCACCCCCTTCAGCCGTTGAAAATTGTGGATAATGGTGAAGATGCAGCCAAAATGCCCTGTGCGAGTCCTGTTGACGAGAATCCGACATGGCAGCATGCTGTCCCTGTGGAACAGCCCAAGGCAACAGAAGGTTTTGGTGGCAAATTGCCGCTCATTTATATTATTGTTGGCTTGCTGTTGGTGTTTGGAATCATTGTGGCAGGAGTCTGTGGCAGCGGCCACTGCAACAGTAAGGACTCCTCTCCAGAGGAACAAGAACTCAGTCCCAGAGATATGGAAGGTGTGGACATCAAAGCCCAGCTGGAAAAAGTGCTAGGTCCCACTTACTTTGATGATTCCACAGACAACACAGAACCTCATCAAAAAGCACTCAACTGGATCATCCATCAAGATCCCCGCCAATTGCCTCCGGATTCCAACCATCTACTCCAACGATTCATTTTGACACAGTTTTACTACAGTACATCACAAGCCGGCCCTTGGAAATTCTGCGGCGCTGCCTCTGGTTCTCAAACAGACGATTGCTACTCCCAAGTTCTGAATCAGGAATTAATTTCCGAGCGATGGTTGTCGGGGGTTTCCGAATGCTGGTGGGCTGGATGCAGTTGTTCTGGAGATACAGAAAATATTACTAAAATTATTGTCTGTGAGTATCAATCATTCACAAACTGTGCTTCTGGCTAAGGTACCAATGCTCTCACCAAATTTCGGCTGTATCATTTTGCTGCCAATGGATTGGTTTGTACAGGGGACAGCAATAGTTTCACTGGATCACTTCCAAGTGAGCTGGGGTTATTGTCACATGCAACCTACTTGTCTTTACGAGCACAAAACTTTACTGGCACAATCCCTCCATCTATTTACAGAATGACAGCTCTTACCAGTTTGGAGCTTTCAAATAGCAATTTCACAGGAACCATTAATCCTGCAGTCTTCTCCATGCCATCATTGTCTACGATCCATTTTCAGGACAACCAAATGACAGGCACCATCCCGACTGAAGTTGGGCTATTTCAAGGTATGTGCACGTTGAAATAGCTTGACAATGCCTCTTGACCCGGATTCGTTGCTTATCATTGGAACCTGTTGCCCTTTTCATTTCAAAGGAGAGGACCTTGTCATGGATAGAAATTTTATTACAGGAACGATTCCTTCCGAATTATTTTCCATTAAAAAAGTGAGGAATATTTGGTTTGGGGATAATAGGGTAGGTTGACCTGTATTGTTGTTCCGACCTCCAATAACTTGACCATGTCCTCATAAGCAATTGGTTGGCTAGCTCTCTGGAACCATTCCCACAGAAGTTGGGCTTTTAGCGCAGCAAGTCGACACAGAGTTGGGCAATCAACTTGATAGTGGTCTTGATTTCGATTTTGTCCGTAATTATGCATTGTCTGGTACAATTCCATCAGAGTTTGGGTTGGTGGACCAGCTATCTGGATTCATTATTGAAGATACGAGCATTGAAGGCACCATCCCATCAGAGTTTGGGCTGGTGGACAAGCTACGTTACTTCATTGTTGGAGATACGAGCATTGAAGGCACCATTCCTGAAGAGCTAGTCTTGAATTGCCTCCATTTGAGGTTCCTCGTTGTTGAAAGCTGCAACTTAGGTGGTACATTGAGCACCAACTTGGGATCACTCACAAACCTCAGATCTTTCATGTTGGCTAACAACAACTTTTCAGGTAGCATCCCCGTGGAGCTTGAAGCTCTGACAATGTTGGAAGCCTTTACAATCAATGGAAATCCTGAACTGAGAGGGTTTGTTCCTGACGACATGTGCTTTGAAAATTTTTTGGATCGAACGCGTGAGTTTGTAGCCGACTGTGCACCTACCACAATCACAGCAAGTGATGGTGCAACCAGCATGGGAGAACCACTTGTGTCTTGTCTTGAAGGATGTTGCAGTGCATGCTGTGATGGGGGGACCGGAATCTGCATTGAAGAGTAGCTCTCTTGATGTTCGATGCGATGCGATCAAGAAAGTAAAACCAATCGGGGGGGGGTGGGGGGGGCACCAACAAGAAGGACAACAGCGACACTGATGGCATACCGTACCTCGGAACATCAGGCCCGTCGATCGGACCAATCTGTAGCAAAGCCAAATAGCCACCCTTCAGGAATCCACACCCGGAGTCGATCGAAAACGCCGTGTCCCCTCAGGACTTGTCTTCCTGTTCTGGGTCGTCAGGCCTCGCTCCGAACGACAACGATGTGGAAGCTCCTGCCTGTTTCGACCTGGTCTTTGAAGCTGTTCGTTGCTAGTAGGCTCGTCAGGGAAGATATGACACCCCGAGCAAAGGAGAGTACCGACTTTGAGGAAGAGGACGAGGAACCACAGGATCGACTGGATCGACGCCACAAAAACACAGCGTATGCTCTGGAGTCATATTGCCCTTCCCATTCTCTTAGTATTGGTTATACTGGGTGTCACCTTGCTGGAAGTGTAGGGACAACCGACTTGAACGCACGTGAGACGGAGGCCACTGATCCTCGTGCAAGGTCGGAGGCAGCCAAGCACCCATGCTCCGACAACACAGGAAACGGGCCTCGAGAGTGTGATGCCTGATGGTATACGCAGGAACAGGAATCAATACGAGACGAAGGTTCATCTACATCGTCAGAGTTTAAATGGGCATTGGATGATCCGTCCCCATTAAGCACAAGACGAGCAGAATGCTCCAACGGTTTGCCTAGGGAAGAGCCGGAGCAAGCTCACAGCGACACTTCCAGCCGAGTTTGGCTTTATGCAGAATATTCAATACATGAATTTGGCTGGCCCATCCAACAACAGACGATTCCACGGGACTTCGCGGGAGACCTGACAGCCTTGAGCCTAATGGATTTGGCCGGCATTTCTTTCACTGGAACGCTCCCTCCAATTCCAGGACTCTTTAGCTTTTCTTGAACGTGGAAGGCAATCCCATCTTGTCGCGACGATTCCACAAGTCTTGTGTGGCATGCATGGAACTTGGGTTGCCAGTAGGTTGTTTGGATTCGTGCGATGGCCTCCCGGACCTATGGTTTACTACAATGCCTCCAGCATGAGCTGTGACGGTGGGTGTTCGTCATGCCAGGGTGAGTGTTCGGTGGCTGCATGTAGTGGGGCGGGAAACGGCGTACAGTCGTAAGTAGAGTCACGGGGGGATTTTGCCTGCAAGTAGTCGTCATGGCGAGATGCTACGGTGTACTTGATTTGGACGTCGCAGTCAGTCCTTATAGGCGTTTATATCTAGCTACTAGAGCTCCATCAATAGCAGCAAACAGCCTCCTGCATGTGTCCTATTCCTCGATCTTTAAATGAAACTTTCCGTCTCCTCGTTGGAAGCTCTACCATATATTCTACTACAGGTTTGAAACATCCAGCCAGTGCTCTGCTGAACAAACCAAAATCAATGCCCCTGGAAACCGAAGTTACGAACAGGTCGATTTTGGCTCTTACGAGCCATGAAAAGGCGAGCCGCTTACAGCTGCTTGTTGGAGCCTCGCACGAACTTCCACTGCTCGGCAATTGGCAGGGTAGAAATGAGGGCCACTTGCATCTCCGAGAAGGGGATTTCCTGGAGATTGGTCGGAAGGAGGCGCTTTTCTCCCTCAAACCCTTCCACTTCCACAGCAACTCGCCCATTTACCAACCCATCCTTGAAGACAAGGCCCAGTTTGCCATTCATTGCTTGTCCTGCTTGGCTCACCAAACCGTGAACGACCACCCACAACCCAGCCTCCCCACGCTCCAAAGCAGAAAGATTTGTTTGCTCGTCAGTCATCATTTTTACATGACTGGCAGCCATTTGTTCCAACAAATCTGGGCAAGTGCCATAGCACCCATGCGCATGTATCGTAGGCTTCATGAAGAGTTCAACCGCTTCATCAATCTCTTTCTCGGTGCGGATCACATGCAGGGCTTGGCCATAGCATCCAGAAAGCACCTTGGCTCGAGTGGCTTTAACTTGGGCCAATGAGAATTCGTGTCCGGGAAACAAGTGGGCCGTCTCTGGATGTTCTGCTAGACTATATATATCCGTGGCTGCATTGAGTGCCACCTTTGAGATGCGCTTGAGCATCCCATCCTGGTACCACCAGTTTGGTTTCGCAACAAGCAGATTGTGTTTTTGCTCAGCGCAGTAATTGAATACAAGACTGACGCCCGAAGTCCAGTCAATCAATGCAGGAAAGACGTCGGTTCGATCCATTTTTTGTTCTCCACAAAATCCTGTCATGGCCATCAACGTCCATCGATGCATCGATTCCAATAGGCAGGACATGGCTTCTGCCATTTGTCCTGATACCACAAAGCACACAAAAAGGTACTTGTATGCTTCTGGTCGTGCTGGGTTGAGTCCCAGGATCCCACACCATATTGTTTACGGCTAGCATCAAAGTCTTGCACAGACAGCATATGGTCATGGACTTGGAGAATACGGTCAATGCCAGCATCAGGGGTGTGCTTCTTGGCCTTTGTCGTGTCTATGACTTTGATGAAGCTGTTGACATAAGCTCTCGTGTTGAAGGGGCGGTTGCCAACCTTCACGGTCTCCTCCTCCTCCTCCTCCTCATCATCATCAGTCTCAACTTCCTCCTCTGTCTCCATTTCGTCAAATTCCTTGGGGTCCATCGTGGTAGTGATTTCGAAACAAAGACAAAGCAAGCAAATAAATGCTGGCAATGCTGATGAAGGGGCTTTGGCGGTTCGTTGAGTTTTCTTTCACCTTCAGTGAGATTCGATTTCTTGGAAGGAAGTTTTACAAAAGAAAAGAATTTTGCCAGCCAATCAAATCCAAAGAGAGAATCAGAGTTCCCATACAAAGAAAAGAACCCCGTCACAGTTTCCAAAAGGAGCCGTTAAGCGTTAGCCGTAGCAAGACTGAGGAGGCCTTCGTGGTATTGTAACGATACTCATTCAGCTATGCCGGTTTAGACATTGGTACACCATCTCAAGTTTCAACTTCCGTGGGATTTCTTGTGTCTTTGCTGATTGCTATCGAATTTGGTCCTTTGGACGCGCCGATGAGAAAAGGGTTCATCGTGTCCTTGTTTTCCTTGTCATTGCCACGGGTGGCCTTCTTGCGTCATTGGTTGCCTTTCCGCCAATGCCATCATATGTAGTCTTCTTGCTGTGACTACCAACCAATGTCGAGTTGATGTTGCCTCTTCCACCGTAAAAGCGTCCGAGATGATCCGTTCCTTCTGCCGCAAGAGTTGATGGAATTTGGACCTTCTTGTCACGCTTGTCCTCGCCATCGTCGTTGGGATAGTTTTCCTTGCCCAAATTGGCGAGCTGGTTGCCACTACTTGTCCATGGCTTGGCTTCGTCCATGGCTGATGATTTGTCGACGATCCTTTGTCGACGATCCTTTGTCAATGATACTTGTTGACTTCCACCGGCTGGAGTGGAGAGTGGATACTTGCTGCAATCAAATGGGAAGAAGCAGTCTTAGCTTGGAGCAAACTGACACAAAGTAAACTTCACAAGGTTGCATTGCTGGGAGGTACCGTACAGTCTGGTAGGTTTGAAAAGATTGAATAAAGGGCTTGAAGAGCTGCTTGTCCATAATACAGTACGATAGCTTACAGTTTTGTTGTTGGGATCTAGAAGCAGGTAAGAGTGGAGTAATGTTCCCTTCTAACTAAATATTGAAAGTTGATTATGCTTCAACTGACCCCACAGTACCCATCCATGCATGCCAGTCATGTTCCTTCCCAGTTGAGTCAGACCCTACCCATCCATCCATTCCAAGTCATGCCTCTCCCTGCCTAATAAAAGCACGAATCTGGATTTGTGCGAACGAATCCAGGTTCGTGCTTGATGGAAATGGACCCTTCCTTCCCAGTTGAGTCAGACCCAACCCATCCATCCATTCCAGTCATGCCTGTCCAAGCCTAATAAACGCACGAATCTGGATTCGTGCGAACGAATCCAGGTTCGTGCTTGATGGAAATGGACCCTTCCTTCCCAGTTGAGTCAGACCCAACCCATCCATGCCACAGTAGGTAGATCTAATAGAGAATAGAAAGCAAACATGCTTGGGTTGCATTCGGCCTGGAAGGGTAATCATTCAGCTTTGCCGGGTTTCGGCGTGACATGAGACGGTCATCTCAAGTTTCAACCTTCCTTCTTGTGTGAGAAAGGTCCGACCATGACCATGGCCTTCAACCTGTAGCGTTTCCTTAAAAGGCCAGAGACAACTACTAGTATCTGTATTGAACAGTACGGTATTGCAAGCACCACCAATCTAGCTAGCTAGCACAATAGACAAGGGGCTGCCGAGAAAGAGGGGGAGAAAGGAGACATCAATAAGATGAGCCAAATGCTTGTCCATGATGGACCGCCACCTGTGAGAAATGGATACGTGGCTTGCCGATCAGCTCCTTCTGGTGGTAGAGATGTCCACTCCTTGCGAGCATCTTCCTTGAAGCTGAATCGGCAAACTCCACCAACACAGCAGCAGCAAATTCAGAACCACCATCAGCCAGTAAAACTAAAGTCGGTTCGCTCGTACCACCAAATGGAAGTCACAACAAAAACAACCACTTCACCTGGTCATGGCTCATCTACTGGAGCAAGACGGCGCTCTAGTTTGCTTCGAAGAAGTCGCAGTTATGGCGCCTCTTCCTTCAACAAGACATTGGGGCCATCTTCCTCTTCAGCAGAGTCTCCACCCTCTGCTACAAACTCCACTTTTGCAAAGACATCCGACAAGGAAAAAGAAAAATCGTCTCCCGTTCCACATCACAGTTGGAGACGTGCCCTCCCACCTCTCAACAATAATAATAGCAGCCTATCCAAGATTCCCTCCTCCTCTCCTGTCTTGACTCACAATACCAAGAGAGCTTCCCTTCCGACAATAACCAATCACAACAGTCACAATCACGCTATGAAAGAAAAGAAACCAACAATGCACTCGTCCTCGGATCATGGCCACAACTTGACACTATCCTACAATCAGCACTGGGCACAACACTATTGCACCCAAAAATACACTTCTTCGTCCATTCACAAGAGACGAGTTTTGTACCGCCTTTTAGGTGTCTGCATACTCTTGGGCATTGCGGGCTTTGCAGTCTCGATTGTACTGTCCAGGGATCATACCGACACCACAACAACCAATGTGGCAAACGATCCCAGCACTACCGAGCAACCACCAGAGGACGCTTCATCCGTCAAACGACCCACATCCAAAGCCAACTCTCGTCTCCGCAATTCCCAATCCCAACTCAAACGATCCTTTACCAGCCTCTTGCTCGCCAAATCCATCACCACTACGGATCGATTACAGGATCCATTTAGTCCGGCATCGGCCGCCTTGGATTGGCTCATTGATGTTTCGACGCATACTTGGCAACAATCCGATCAAGACATTATATCCCGCTTTTCCTTGGCGTGTCTCTTTTTTGCCACCCATACAACGGGGAGTCTTTGGAAAGTCGAAACCCATTGGATGACATCCATGAATGAGGATGGTGGAGTTCATGTCTGCGATTGGTACGGAGTTGCCTGTGCCCATTATCAAGTAGGACCAAATCAAGTGGAAGAAGTCGTGACGCAGGTCAATTTGACCAAAAATCAACTCCAAGGAACCATTCCAGAAGAATTTTGGAACGGTTTGGCCCGTGATTTGGTACTGATAGATTTGAGTGACAATCAACTCTGGGGGACATTGCCCGATGGCGATCATTGGTGGAGTCGTGGCATGTTTCCCAATTTGCAGACACTGTACCTCCACAACAATGCCATGACGGGGACGATTCCCTTCAATTTGCAATCCACCAAGACAATATTACAAAAGACCAATCTCAAGCACGCGTCGTTGAAACACAATCATTTTCAAGAATTGCCCGGCAGATCGGAGGAAGCCGTTCAACAACGAACAAGACAACGACGAACCAAACGACGACAAGACGACGGGGATCCATGAGCAATACTAGTACGCACCATGAAAACCGTGACAACAGAATGTCCAGAAGCAGGTTTGCTTGGAATTCCTTTCAAAAGAGGACATTCCCCGGAACAACAAATGGAAACGATTGATTCGCCATGTCCATATTGGCCCTGTGGACGGCCCAAGCGCGAAACTTTGCAAATTGCCGGCGTCCTGATGCCCATCCCATACATGTACATTCCATTGTTCCCAAGGATGGCCTTGCCAAAGCAAAAGGAATCCATTCACGCGAGAGCACCTCCAGTGGAACTTTCTTGTTCGGACAATCTGTCTGGAACCCGACAAATGCAAACGTTCTTCGTATCGACGATCCAACCAGAGTCTTGCGAGATTCTCGCGCGCTACCGAAGTGATGAAATTAATACTCAATGAATCTTTGGGGGGACAAGCACACTCGTCCGATAATTGACAAGGCACGAGGCAAGAAAAAACTGAATCGAATCCACCGAGGGATACAACCGCTCAAACTCGTCGTTGATCGGGAAATCCTCTGGTCCACGAAGCAGGTCGGTGGCAAGATATTCCTGGATGCATCTCAATCCCCACACACCACACTGCAACACGTTTAGATGCGACTGTCGGCTATCGATTGGTCACGCGGGCACGGAACTGATTCCCGACCAGCCACAATACTCTACGGGTCAGCTGGCTTCCGGTCATCATTTGACACCAGAATCTACTTTGTAGTCTACGACGCCACGCCTTAGTCAATGCTAGCTAGCTAGAGTTTGTCCATTTTGACTGCGTTGACAAGCTTCCAATTATTGGGAGTATGACTTGCTTACCATAGGTTTGTTGAAGAAAACTCCTAGGAACCAGTGTACAGACAAGTTGGCGATGACATCCCTCAGTACCAGTGAATGGCTCTAGATGCTTTGGATTCTTCACGTGTAGTAGGTTGGACCCAGGTGGAAGGCTGGGTGGTTCTGTATGCAAATCACCAGCATGAACAAAGGTAAAAAGGTTGTGGTGGTATGTTTGCCTCTCTTGGATGTTGGTTCCTTTGACTCTGTGAACCAATCATAAGCTTTGTTGTTGGTTGCCTCTTCCAAAGTTGGTAGTTCCCTAATCTTCTCCTCTTTGTTGTGGAGCCTGACATAATAGGGATGGTGATGATGTTGGCTCGAAGAAGGAGTATTCAGCGTTTCAAGAACCTCATTCACATTGGCAACCCGGACATTTGATAGAAGAGCACAGGGGTTCACAGGCTTCACTGATTTCATGGGGACAAATGGAGCCACTGAAGGTTGGGTAGCATGGGTAGCATGGTTGACAGTAGCCTGGGTAGCGGCAGCAACAGATTTGGCATTGATTTTCATGGTGGGATAATAGACAGGATAATAGATTTTGTGAATGAGGTGTTCTCAGTGGTCATACAGAATATCACACTCAGTAGCCCCACTGGCTACCGGTAGGTGATAAGAGTCGAGCAACACAAAATGTACTATCCCTTCAAGGAATCCCAGGGTCCCGGTTGTGACCTCCAACCAACCTCAAAAAATAAGTCTTCTTTTCTGGAGAAATAATGAGGCAATTTGAGTAAGAGGAACTAGCTGGCTACATAGCTCAAATCAAACTGTTGACTCTAATACCAATCCAGCTTTTAACCTTCCAATACCAGGCTCTCTGGCGTTGGTGCTCTCTGGACAATGCGGCAAAAAGGTAAAATGTGAGGAACAGTCTCCTAAATTTTGATAATCTCCAAAACGGTCTCCTAATTTCAAATTACAGTACCAAAATTTTGACAATCTCCTAAACAGTCTCCTTTAGAATTTGAGTTTTGATCTCCTATTCAATCTCCTATTTCAACTCTAACAAACACAGGGTGAATCTCCTAATTTTGACTTTGGTCTCCAAAACGGTGGTCTCCTAAATTTTGATTATCTCCAAAAGGGTCTCCTAATTTGAAATTATTAAATCCTAAATTTTGATAATCTCCAAAACCGTCTCCCTCACAATTCGGCTGGAGATTGATTTGCCACAGCGTCCATTGGAGGTATTTTAAAATACAGTGTACAGCTAGTACACTGTACGTGGGATGAAGAGGGTGTGGGTCTGGAAGTCTCGCGATGACGTCACTTTCACGACTTTCACCCTTTACAGTAGTCGCTTTAGTCGCGGTTTCTAAGTCGCGAATTCATGAATCCAAAGAAGCTAAGCGAAGAAGCTGGTGAGCAGAATCGAATCGAATGATTCGATTCATTGAATCCTCGTTTCGCGGAAGAACTAGCTATTAGACTACAAGACTTAGTACGTACTGTGTGCTTCAAGAGGATGTTCTCGCATGTGCCCTGGCAACCTGCATGCTCTCGAGCCCGAGCTCATCATCCACCAATGAATTCACCTGTAAAGTAACGAAGCAACGAGGTACCGGTGACCGCTCCCATCTGATAATAAACCTAATGGTACATGTACTGTGTGTTTATGCTCCCAGTACCGTTACAATAGCAGTAGCGATTGCTTGAAGTGCATTCAACTTGAAGCGATCATGTATGTGGTGTGGATAGGTGTTCTGCAAACAAAAGCCACGGACTGATGAGTGGTGGGTGGCCAAAGCAGCCACAAGACCACAGGACCAAGTCAAGTAGATCTACATGTACTAGCCCTGAAGTCCTGAAGTACTTCGTAGCTGCCCGTAGCATATTTACTTAATAAAACAATGCTGCTCACTTTGGACATCTCCGCATCCTCCAATGGCTGCACAACAAATGAATGCCCCTGGGATGAAGATACTTGTGGTTCAGCTGCTCAGGGAAGGCACGTGAATACTCTGCAGTATGCCCATGAGAATGGCTGTCCGTGGGATGCAGATACTTGTACTGCTGTTGCTGCAGAGGGGTACTTGCAAACACTACATTATGCCCATGAGAATGGCTGTACATGACATGTACCGAGGCTGCCAAGAATGGTCATGTGGAAGCACCACAATATGCCTACGAAAACGGATGTGACTGCAATTGGGTTGATTGCATGACATTGGCTCTCCGTCATGAAAAATTGCACATCCTTCAGTGGCTCTACTCTCAAAAGGAACAACCCTGGGATTGGCAGGTCCTTGCCTTTGATGATTCTAACCCCCCCCCCCCCTCCAATCATGCAGTGGGCCTACGAAAATGGGTGTCCTTTGCAATTGTTCCCATTTGAGTTTGTGCAAGCACAAGGCAACAACTGACTTGGTTGATGATTCCTTGTTCAGCTGCCTTGCGATGCTGAGCGAGAGCTAGCGCTAGAATGGAGGAAAAGACTCCAAATGACACGGCAAAGGATGTATTGTACCGGTGCAGGGGCGCCCCCCTCTGAGGAAACTGTCATTGCATTGCTACTAGGAAGACAGTATTTGTAGGAATTTCCAATATTTCATAGTCTCGCCTGCTCTAGGACACGAATAGAAGCTAGTAGACTACTCTACTCTGCACTAGGAAAACCATAGTCTTTCTTTGCTGCAGAGTGTTGACAGCCAGGCATACCGTGAATGAACGATGCCCGGATAGGAATGGACCGAACTGATGAAAATACTCGATGAATCCTTGGGGGGACAAGCACCCTCGTCCGATAATTGACAAGGCACGAGGTGGCACGGTACCGGTACCGGTACAGAGTGGGCGCCTTGAGGATCCTTCATGCTGTAAGAAAGGTACGTTCATCTTGATCCTGGCCATACCGAGTCCTCGATCGCCTTGATCCTTTCGCAAAATAAAACAATTCCGCCTTGTGCGTCTCGCCATTACTGGGTTTGTCAGGTTTTCCAAAGGTGACCTCTCCAGCTCCTCTCCCATCCTGGTACATGCACTCTTGGTTAGGCTCCCGCTACCGGTACGATAGCACAATGAGTGTATCTTGTCATTGAGGGAGGGAAAGTAGCAACCAGCCAGCCAAGTTGTTTGTAATATCCTCACCCTTCTACCATACCGGTAGCAAGGCATCCGTCGGAGTACCTGGTACTGTACTAGACTAACTGGTGCACCCAGACTGCATTGAATTGATTATGTTGCTGGCTATTTTGCTGGCGTCAAATCGGGCAGCAATGGAGTGTCAGCAGTGGCAACATACACATCCTCTCGAGCCCAAGGAGCTCATCGCCCACCAATGAATTCACAATTCAAAGGTGACCTCTCCAGCTCCTCTCCCATCTATAGCTATCTAGCTACTGGTCCATGTTCTCTGGATTTTAAAAGCTCCTGCTACCGGTACAATAGCAGCAGCGATTGCTTGATTGCATGAGAACTGTATCCAACTTCAAGTGATCGTTCTTGTGTGTTTGCGTGTTAATCCACTGATTGGTCATGTCCAAGCTTTCGCGGGCGCCCCGGAAGCAACCTCATCAAGACCAGGTAGAACATGCAGTATCATACCGGTAGCTCCCCGGGATCCATGCTTCGCAGCTTAGCTGTGTGCTCGCAGACCGAGTCACAGTCGAGTCGAGTCAGAGTCCAGTCCTCCTACCTGTATGCATAACACGCCGGTGCCAGTTACTGCACCACCAGGTAAAGGTCTCCAATTGGTTCTTTATTTGTGTAAAAACTGGATTTTTGAAGAGTGAATTTCAAGGTGCTTAAGTCATATCAGACAGTCATAAGACGATGACTCTAATCATCTGACAATTAACCTATAATCGTCTGACAACTGTCTTAAGACAATTCTGTCAGACAGTTTCTGTCAGACGATTATTGGCGAAGTCCCCACTTTTTCAGACGATTATTGGCGATGACTCGGAACATCTATTACTCAGTTTAACGCAGTACCGAATAATGCTAAGAGTAACCAGCGATCGTCTGAAAGATTTAGCGATTGTCTGAATAAAGATTTAGTGAATGTCTGACAATCGTCTGACAGTTATCTCACCACTGTCTGATGGAAGGATGGTTTCTCTTCAGACAATTATCAGACTATTCTCCTTTGAAAGTCATTTATGCCTAAGTCAAATCGTCAATTTTACTCCCTTTCAATCAAAATGGGCTTTTTACCGCGAGGTGCTGGTTCTCGCGTACTCAGTACTATGTAAGTAAGTACTCGCGACCGAGATCACGGGAGCTGTGTTTACATGTACATGTGTGATAAAGCCCTTCAACACATCCGGACGCCTTGGATTCACCCCAATCGTACACTCCAAACCTGGGCAAGAAGGCTCGAGTCTGACTCCCAGTACTGCAGCTGGAGTAAAGAGTAAAGCTTTCTTATTATTGAGTTTGGCGCGTAAAGAGAGTGCTGCTTGCATATTCTTTTCAGAGAGCAACCATTCCGTACCGGTACCGGTACTGGTTACTGGTTACTGGTATGATACCTGTACATCAGGGTGTGGGACTCACATGAAATACACGCTGCGGGTACTCGATGTGAGTACGGGTATTGAGTACTGAGTATACTCAATACCCATACTCACTTGACCCTCGAAAATGTGAGTAATACTCAATACCCGTACTCACATGACTCCGGATTCTGAGTACTTTTTGAGTCTTCGGTGAGTACTTCGGTGAGTACTTCGAAGTGAGTACCAGTGAGGTACTCGGTGAGTACTCGGTGAGTATTTTGTGAGTACGAGTGAGTATTTCGCCAACTCGCAGCCCCATAAATTTCCCATTTTCTCACTTGAGCTTGTTCATTGAAGCTTTTAGCTTATTGAAGCTTACACTGTTGACTCTAGCCAGCTTTTTCTTGTTCTTGTTGTCTCTTCTGTTGTCACCATGGCTGATGTGGAGGATGATGAATCTTGTCACAGGGAGCGATTGAGGAGAGCTGTCATATGGGCGATTGAATTGAAGAACCGGAACTAAGGAAGAAGAAGGTGCATGTCGAAGAAGAGAAGAAGATGAAGAAGCTGCGTTGCCGATGTACCAATGGCCGGGCAATGGGAATGCTTTGACTGGCACAGTACGTCAAGCAAGAGTATTCCCACGTCAGTAGCAAGCCACCCGGGCGTTCTGGGTTTGGCAATGTTCATAAGTGTGACATTCCGACGCACGAACACTTGAAAACTTCCACTTTGGATGATTCGGACTTACCAAAAGATCCAGTCAAGGAATTTCGTTCGGCGAAAAGCAGGACTGGGGGGGGAGGAAAAAGAGGGGTAAGTAAAAAAGAGAAAAGGGGGAGAGGGAACGAGGGGTGTGGTGTCGTGCATAGCTCGCAGTCAAACAGCAAGTCACTTTCCAAATGTTATCCGGCAACCTACAAGAAATTGTGGATCAGGTGGATTCGATTGCACTGGCAATCCTGGCAAACACTTCGAGGACAACACTTACCAATGTGGCAAGCAATCAAAAAGGAAAGAGGTGCATTCCGTTACGACACTTTAAATCGATCGGTGGCGGCTTTTGCTGTAGGTCCAATGGCAGCTCCTCCTGTTCACCCCAGGAAGTACCGCAACAACATTTCAGCACAATCAGTCATAGTACACTTTCCGAGCCAAGGTCTGTGGTTCATGAAATGAGTAGAAGGCTGGAAAAAGCCAGGTCTTGCAATATTTCAAGAAAAACAGCATCGTGTATGCTACAAGACAAAAACATTCCTCTTCGTGTTTTGACGACCACAAAGCATGTCCAATTCAGAGACATGATGATCTATGACATGCAGAATGGAGCCGCTCTTCTGAAATGTCCCAACAATGGCTTGATGGGACGATGGCCCATACAAACTACAGAGCCAAGATTACCAAACTTTCATGGTGCGGTTGGAATGCATTAGGAGAGACGGACCAGTACTATATGAAAACCTTTGGTTGTCATAAGTCTTTCCTTACTGTCGCTCATGACGTTTGGGACTCTAACAAGAAGGAAAACTTGGAGACGATCTTCTTTTACAACCCAAAAGGGGTGTCTATCTAAGAATTCCCGTTGCACTGGCGGAATCTAAAGACAAGAAGGGAGAGCCCACCACGAATCAGATATGGATATTCCAAAGCTTTTGTTATTGAGGACCGAATGATCACAAGGCCATGAATGACACTACCAAAACGGCGCTATTGGTGGGCAGCAACCTGAGTGAGAAAATGCTACTGTGCCATGCATGAGATTCATTTGGCTTTTTCGCATGCCACCGGTCAAAGGAACGCTACAAGGACAAGGTAGTGGTTGACGAGTTTGATGCTTGTCAGGCTATTCGAAAACAAGCCGAGGAAACCGCCAAGTGGTTGGCAAACAAGAAATCGAAGGGGAGATGAAGAAGTTCACGGACACACCTCTGTGCTGGCCGGATACCCAGGGCTTTTGCATGTCCAACCATACAAGGGCCGGAGAGAAGCTTTGTTCTACGATTCGTTTATCCAAGCTCGGTGGAACCTTCACCACTATTGCATTGTTGACGATACATGTCCGGAGGTGGAGGATTCTAAGTACCATGTCATGGCACAAACCCTTGCGGTGGAATTCCCATGTTGAAGCTTGTTTGCTTTTTCCAGTCGGACCACTATGGTGCACAATTCCTATACTGCCTATGGTACATAACGTGTGTTTGCTTCTTATTGTTACTCCAAGGTGGTTTGGTGCCAGAGACTCGCCGAAGCAAAGCTACAAATGACACTGAAAAGTGGAATGGCACTGCAAGTTGGTACCCCACCAATTTTGATGGCTCTCCCCAGTTTATGAACCCAAAGATGACGCGGAAGGACTTTACCTTCCTTCCACCACTGAGAGGTTGGTTTGAGGACAATCAAAGTCAGGAAACTCATAAGATTCCCAGAAACTATTCCAGCGAATCCAAGTGAGTTGCGACGCTATGGTGCTTGTGTTTCAAGCTGTAAGCAGGATGACAAACTCCTCGCCATGAGTGTAATCCTTTCGGTAAACACACATGCTTGACGACTTGAAACACTTGCTACTGTTGCGATGGTTCGGATACCCTCCCGGCAAAAAAACTGATGGGCAAAGGTGTTCGGCAGAGAGCCACGACGATATTGACGATCTGGGTCAAGCAGATGTGGGGAAACAAATTCGACCTACCGAACAAGCGACTGAAATGCAAGTCCGAAGAAACCACAGGCAAGCCACGAACCAACGACCCTTGCATTGGCAAGGGAAGCCAAACGAAGGAGAATCGAGGATACTCCTGTGGAGAAGGAGTTGACACCAATCCAGAAAGCAATCGACAAATGGTTAGACGAAAGTTCAACTTGTTGGATGCTCTTCGGGCTCAGAAGCGGAAGCCTATCGGTAAAGATGTTCTCTACACTTGGCAATGAAGAACATTGCTGTTGGACAACATTGAAGTGGTGAAAATCTACTTTGCTTACAAGAATGGTGGGAGAAACTGGCAAAACCAACCACCCAATCATTTATGAAATTGCTGTCGCATCTTTGCAATGCCATATAGCAACGGCTTCCAAGAAAGAGTTTTCAGTTCTTGTACATGGTTTGATGGAAAACTCAGCAATGGACAGAAGGTTGACATGACATTCCAATGCGCCTTCTTTGCTACAAGAACAGTGCATTCATCCAGAACTACAAGCATTGCTCAATGATGCAAGAAAGGAATGGGCTAAGAATAGGACAAGGCTCTCCAGATAACTGCAGCAGATGTGAAGAGGAGGATTATGACAGTATATTGATGCCATGGTGGACTTTACAACAAGATTGATGAGCCCCAGCCCAGAACTAGAAAAACAATAATTTCCCTAAGTAATTGATTTATGAGTACTCAGTGAGTAGTCTATAGTACCCACAAAGTACCTGTACTCACATGATACCCGTACCCACTTGACCCTGGGAATTGTGAGTATTACTCAGTACCCATACTCACTTGACTTTGGAATTGTGAGTACTACTCAGTACCCATACTCACATGCTAAAACAGTGTGAGTACCACGCCCTGCTGTACATATCGTACCGTATGACTGCGATACGTTTAGTGTGCGGTAAGTACCATATTCATACTGTAAAGGGAGAGCTACTCTTAGAGTCTTGGTAATTAGAAACCGCAACAGCTCGTAATGATAACCGACATGTACATGTACTGGAGTATGGCTCCTGCGATAGAAAGGCTGCCATCGTAGCCATGTGTAGAATTTGTACTAGCCATGCCGGCTCGCATGCTGACGTAGGAAGAACAATCCTTAAATACAGTTCTATCTCTTCAGGTATCTTCGCTCCGATTTGGGACTTTCACTGCACTCACTGCCCACAAAGACCGGATTTGGACACCGAGACGTGGGAAAGGAGAGAACTCACATGAGCTTCATTAATTGAATGGAGTATTGTCGTTAAATAAGGTATGTTCTTCCTGCGTCAGCATGCGAGCCGGCATTGCTGGTATTGATTCTACACAGACCTACGGCAGTATTGGGATGGTCGCAGGAGCCATAACTCAGAAGCGGCTCTGAAGCTTTTTTGCTTTTTTAAGCCCTAGCTAGTCTTTAGATACTACACTTCAAACTCAATAATAAGAAAGCTCTAACTGGGAATCAGTACTGGAGCTTTCTTACCCATCTGGAACGTCTCCCCTATGATGAATTATGATGAATTTTCTAGAATGTGATGAATTGGTGATGAATTTAATCATTCATCATGAATTAATGATGAAAGTAAGTATATTGGTGATGAATTCATCATGAACATTTGAATTAATGATCAATTCATCATGAATTGGTGATGAAATTTATTGAAAATATAGCATGCATTTGTGTTGAAACATGATGAATTGTGATGAAAATAATTGAATTGGTGATGAATTTAATCGTTCATGATGAATTAATGATGAAAGTGTTGAACTTGATGATGAATTCATCATGAGCGATTTGAGTAATGATCAATTCAAATTGAGATTTTTCTGTTAAATTCGCCAAAAGTCAGTAAATCTATTTTGCTACTCATATTATTTCTAACACAACAAGCCAGTTTCAGTATAGAAGACTTTCTTACTAAGCCTCTAGATCAAACAGGTTAGTTGTTGGATACACCCAGTGCACCTGGCCCTTTGGGTCCAACTTGCTCAGGAATCTTCATTGGTTTGGGTCAAGCACAAATTGTGACCACAATCTCTGCCGTGAGGCAGAAATTTGCAGATTTAGGCACAAGTTAAGAGCATTTTCATGGTGTCAGACTAGTAGAGTTTCTTGTGCTTTGAGGTCTCAATACTGGGAGGTTTTCTTACAAGTCTGTGATATTTCAGTATAAAAAGATTCTTATCTTTTTCTAAAATCTGAGTACATGGTACTGGCTTTCTTATTTGGAGTTTCTTACATTCAGGTTTGGAGTGTAGCTGGCCCTTCCACCACTGAACGGTTTTGAAGTTTTGAAGCAGTCTTGAATCTTGGGTGCAGTATACAAACATGATACCATTCTACTCGAGTAGCTAGTAGTCTACTTTCACGGTGCGACACAGGACAGCATCCGAATTGAAAGAGCCAGAGCCGATGAGCCAGTTGTCAGCTCGTTGAGTTTGAGCGTTGATCTCACATCATCGCCTCTCCCTTGTCCTCTCTCCTATCAACTGGACCGCTCATCAGTACTAGCAGTCCATTATCTATCTTATCCGTCTAGCTAACATGAGCATCAGCGATGACTTTAGTAGTATCGGGGGTGGAGGTAGCTTGGTGGATTTGGAGGAGGTATGGCGAAGTGACAATGTCCGGTGGGAAGAACAAATTGGTAGTTTGACGCTATCTCAGGATACCATTACCTTTGTACCTGCAGCTGCCATCACAACAGTTACTGATGAAGATAATGATAACGGAGTTAAATCCTGGAGTTTGGGTAGCATCAAGAGGTATACCGTCAGTGCCGCAGCGAGTACAATCAACCTAAGGGTACAAGGAGCGGGAGAGGACGAAGAGACGACTGTTTCCTTTGGCATGGAATCGCTTCCGAAGGTGGTTGAGCTCCGCAAAGCTCTAGTATCTCGCTTAGTGCGTCTCCAAAGCATGCAGAAACAACAACAAACAGCACCTAGTCAGACTGATGTTGCATCCGAGGATAAGGCCAGTCAAGAGAAGGATGATGCGGCTACCACCGCTACTTCTACTGGGGGTAGCGAGAGCAGTGTGGAAGTTCTGTACGATGCTTCTGTCACTCCACCGAACAACAACTCTCCACAATCCATTATCAACTGTCGACCTTCCATCCAAATGAACGGCAGCACCATGCTTTCCGCAATCTCCATCAACTCCAACACATCCATTCCAGAAGAAGAAGAAGAACGATCTATCCTGAACCAGCAGGAAGAGGATAAGAAAACCCAGGAAGCCAAGTCATCTACCCACTCATCATCTACTGGTCAGACCAGTGAATCCAGCGGTGATGATGATGATGAGAATGAGCAGCAAGCAATCTACAAGAAACCAGGAACAATCAGGGAACTATCTCCACGAACTAGCAAGAAACGTATCAGTACACGTCCTGCAAGTGCCAACAGAGGCAGCGTCATGAACAGAGGCAGTGTCATGCACGGCAGGCCATCGGTTGCTGCCAGATTTCAACAACGCCGAGCAGTATTCGATCAAGAAGCTACCTCGGGCGAACTCCATGACGACGACATGGTAGCACGAGAGGTATTACAGATGGCCCATCCTAGCTCCCAACAGCAGCAGCAGCAACAACCGTCTTCAGACACCAACGACACTGCTGGCATGACTATAGAAGAGGAAAAGGAACGAACACGTAGCAACTTGCCAGTGAAGAAGAAGACGAATGAGAGCACTGCATCCGAAGAACTGGAACGGGACGACATGATAGCACGAGAGATTCTGCAGATTACTAGTACTCATCATCAGCAACAGGAGCTGTCGAACGATACAACCGGCATGACCATGGAAGAGATCAAGGAAAAGGAACGAACACGTAGCAACATGCCTGCGGTGCCGGTTCCGGTACTGCAACAAGCCGACGCAGACATGAAGCGAGCTGCTGTTGATGGACTCATTGCCGACAACAACAGCACCACCAGAACGGGCAGCAGCAGTAGTCTTTCCGATGCACAGCCACAGCGAGGGCCCGGTGCCTACAATCGAGCTCCTGGACAGTGTTCTTGTCGCAACATACCCGTCAGTTTTCGCTGTGTCGGAACCACGGGAAAAGGAGACTATCAAAAGTCTTCCGAACCGGATTTGGAGGATACCATTGGGGAGGAAGAATCCGGCATGAATGGATCCAGTAACCACACTAATGGCACCTCTCAATACCGGCGCGTCAGCTCCGCTCAGAGACGAAGCAGTTTCTTCGACGCCAGTTCCGGGACGGTAGTCGAAGCATGTCTCGTCGAAGACACTGCTCCCGTTCGATTTTCCGAAGTCATTCCTTCGTGCGTCGAAGTCAAGAACGAGGAGGATGTCATGGTGGTCGATAAGAAAACTACTGCCATTGTCGGTGGGGCCTGCTGTTTCTTCTTGGTGGCCATCCTCGTCACCGTTATCGTTCTGATCGCTACAACGACGGCATCAGGCAATGGAAATGGCAGCGCCACAACTGTGACGACTGGTGAAGCTCGAGTATCCCTCGTGACGGATCTTACAGTACCACTCGTGGCCGATCCTACAGAATGGGATGATCCTTTGAGTCCTGCCTCGCGTGCCCTTGATTGGATGATTGGAGAGGATCCACTCCGCGAAACAGCAACATTGCAAGACCCGGACAAGATTCGACAACGGTTTGTACTGGTCCTGTTTTACCATCGCACCACGCAACAGCAAAGTGGCTGGAAAAGATGCAATCCACCAGAGACGGGAGAAGGCCGTGCGTGCCGACACGTCCTTTTGGAATCATATAGTTTCCAAGGAGAATACTTCGATCAGCACATGTCCGAACCCTCCTTTCGATGGATGACCGACACGGATGAATGTCGATGGGCGGGTGTTCGGTGTTCCGATGGGGTTCATGTGTCGCACCTGCAACTCGGTACGAAAAACGAAAAAATTTCCTTTATGGATTGCTTCGCCGGTTTCTCTTTTTCTCTAACCACCGGTCGTATTGTTTGCTTTCTTGTTTTTGTTGACCCAGGCGACTACGGTCTGACAGGATCCCTGCCGATCGAATTGAGCCATTTGTATCAATTGGAGGAGTTGGATCTGCAACAGAATAGTCTGGAAGGAACGCTGCCGGCAGAATACAAGTTTGGCGCCACTGCAGACTTCCTATCCAAACTAAAGGTCTTGCGACTGGACCGAAACAAGTTTTCCGGAGAGATTCCAGAAGAATGGTGCCATCCAGGAGAGGCAACGGCAGCAACCACAGAATTTGCCGTCGAGACTTGGAGTCTTGCGTCAAATCAGCTTGTGGGTACGCTTCCATCTTGTTTGGGAAATCTGCAACAACTCAAGGACTTTAACGCGGCACACAATAGGTTGACCGGAACAATACCCCCCGTGGGTGCCTCCAAACTGGAACAGTTGCACCTGACTTTCAATTCCTTGAGCGGCAGCATCCCCGATTTCTTTTGTGACGGTACGGCAACGTCGCCACCATTGGGCGAGCTCTCCGTCGATTGCCTTGACGGCGCCAACATTGTTTTTGTGGAATGTCCATGCTGTACCAAGTGCTGTGATCCGCAGGAGAATGTGTGTGAGGTCTACTCCAATGATGAACCATAGATGCGCGTGCATGTCATGGCGCCGTAGAGCTAAAAATAGTGAAGAAGCAACAACATGTCCGTGAACTCTGCAAAGATGGGTTTGTATTTAGAAAGCAAGAAGAATGATACACTGAGTCGAGTCAGTCAAGCAAGAAGCAAGCAACAAGCCAATTATTGATGAGGGGGCTCTGTTTTTGTGCTGATCGCTGTTGACAGCACAGATCAAGGTGGACAACAACCGTAAATGATGGCTGGGAGGATGTTGGAGCAACTTCTTGAATGCACAAAGAATAGCTATCTAGCTACATGTACAAAGTAACCTCAACATGCTGTCGTGCATCAATGCAATAGCAAAATACAAATCTATTTTTAAAATTAATGCATGCTCATATCTTACATCTATTGTACAGAGAGGCAGAACCATCGACTATGGTTGACGTGAGAAAACAAATGACAAGGTGAGACAAACATGAAGGCCATAGCAGTAAGAAGACATGCATTTGAATTTGAAACGTACATTCGACCACCAAAACATCCGGGACCTCCTTGTCAGTGGCCGTTGGCGTGGTTGCCTCGCTAAACTCCCCATCGTTCTCCTTGACGGTTTTGGGAGTATTCGCAGCCTTTGCTGGCGTGGTGCTTGCCACCTTCTTGGGGGTACCAGCTACGTTTCCTCCTCATTCTGATCAGAATCGTCCACTCCAGCCACCGTGGACGAGTGTGTGTTGTCGTTTCTTGTTTGAGAAAAGGGCGTGCCACCACCGGTCCGTGATGAAGGAGGTCGACCTGCTGTAACCAGGAGAAGAGAAGTCAGGCATACATGAATCGGGAGGCGTGACGAAAACATGAACCATGTGTGTGCGAAGCGGAGGCCGATGGTGCAGTAACGGGAATGTAGGACATGCGGATGACACAAAAGAATAAGCTAAAAATTAAAAGGGGGTTCTACGTCTACCTCGTTCTAGCGAGTCCCGGGAGGTTCACCTCGTGATTGCCAACCACCAGCTGGTTTTGGCTCCTCTCGCACTCTCTCTTGAACCGAACGGGGTAGCAAATTTTGTACAGTAGTCCTCTTAGCTGCACAACGATGTCAAACTCTAAACAAACACAAAAATGCAATGTAGTGGTAGTGGTTCCATCTCTTGTATTTTCGTAGATCACCCTCGTCCTCGTTTAATTCTCGCGTTCGTCTTCGTCCTCGTCTTGGTCCTGCTCCTCTTCTTCCATTCATTGTCGTCGTCAATTTCAATGAATGGCTGCTCAGGGTCGTTTCATTCATAGTCATTCTCCGAGGCGGCGTAGCACGTCCCGTCCTACTGGGAGAGCACCTTGCGTTGTTCTTCAATGGTGAGACCCAAAAGTTGAACTCCCGTGCGCAGGAAATGCTGGAGACAAGTTCGACGTTTCGTGACAGAAGGGATACGAGTCTTGTACGCAGTGTCTTTCATGAAAGACACTAGCTTTGAAATGAGCGCGGAGCGACATCCAATTTTGGTCTCGATTTCGAGTCCGCTCAGACCACGACCTT